TAAAAAAAAAAAAAAAAAAAAAAAAAAAAACTCACTTGTGTGAGTTTTTGACTGTCTTTACCTTCATGTGTCCTGTGTTTTGTTTGTGAATCTAAAGATATAGTCATTGGATTCATTACCTAAGAGAATGCTTGCCTAGAGCAATGATAACGTTTGGCACCCATGAAGCTGAACCCAAAGATAAACACTGATCTGAATTAAGCCTTTCCCTACTTAAGAAAGGGATCCTATCAGATGACCTACATAAAAACCTGTAACTGGTATAGGCCAGTCATTCCAGGCTAAGACATCCTCCTTAGATACTGTTCCCTCTTTAAAGTGGGCAGGGCAAAGTTTCAAATAAGACCCAAATCCTCTTTTCTGGGGTGGTGGGAAAGAAACTGTGTTTCTCTCACTTTTGGATTTTGGATTGCTATCCCATAAGCCGTCTATAATTTGTGATGAGCTTAATCTTAAAGTAGTTTTTTAAAGATTTATTTATTTTTATTTTATGTATATGAGTATTTTGCCTGAATGTACATCTGTGCACCGTGTGTGTGCAGTGCCCATGAAGCCAGAAGAGGACATTGGATTCCCTAGAACTGGAGTTACAGACAGTTGTGAATGTTGGGATTTGAACCTGGGTCTTCTGGAAGAGTAGCCAGTGCTCTTCACTGCTGAGCCATCTCTCCAGCCCTAGGGTTAATTATTTATTAGCACTTAGAGTCTAAGAGCTGGAAAGCACGTCAGGGTGTTTATTGTGCATTGGTGGGATTGACTACAGGAGTGGAAAACTTTATTCCTTTTCTCGTGGGCTGTGTGAACATGCAATCCCAATTACTAGAAGCAGGAGAAGGAGAAGCCACTGCAGATGTGGCCAGTCCTGGCTTGTCCTTGCCGCACAGCCATGTCCTAGGAAGGGGCAACTGCATCTCTGACAAAGTGAATCTGTTGTCATGGCAGCCAGTCTAGGTACTGGTCTGACATGGGTGAAAAGAAAAAAAGAAAAAGAAAAAGAAAAAAAAAGCAAGTTTGATCTCAGTAAAGCCTCAGAGATGAGGACATACAGTTAAGATTGCAGAGACCAGGTCCCTTCTAGAATTGGGATTCAGGGATAACCAAAATTGTATTCCCCACAAATAGGCCTACTCTTTCTGAAAAAGTCTTCCAGGGGATGAAAACAAGCCAGGGGCCCTAAGACAAAAAAAAAGACATCATTCTAGAACATGCTGCTGGGACGCCTCTGCAGTGCTCAGTATGGACTCTCATCTTTTTCAGGTATGAGCGGCTTGAAGACCAGCTTCATGACCTGACAGAGCTCCACCAGCATGAGACGGCCAACCTGAAGCAGGAGCTAGCCAGCGCCGAGGAGAAGGTGGCCTACCAGGCCTATGAGCGCTCGAGAGACATCCAGGTAGGGGTCCCCTCCTGACTGAATCCTGGTGGAGTGTTTTTCCAGGTGTTAATTAGACAGTCTAACTTGGTGCATTTCTCTAAAACCTCATGCATGTTTGGAAAGATGTTTTCTCTACACAGACATTTCCCATCCACCTCCGGGCCCTACTGGCTTGTGTTGACAGTGTTACTGAGAGGTTTTACCCTGTACTCCTGTTGCCTAACTCAGTTGGCAAGTATTTATTACTAGCCTAATTCCAACACCACCAAAACGTTATGAAATATCAAGTGTTAGTTAGGCAGCACTGCCTTCAGGAAATTTCCTGTGTAGGCAGGGAGTGATCAAGTTCCACACTCCATAGTGCAGCTACAGTGCCCCAGAAATCCAGCCCTGCTGTACCTCAGTATCTGGGATAGGAGGAGGGAGTGGGGGTGGCAGCCAGGCATTCCGTGGTAAACACTGGGTTTGAGTCCCAGGTCTGTTATTTACCCACTGTGATTGTGAGCAAGCCTTGAGTCTCTTCATCAACAAAAGCAATTACGTTGTATGTGTAAGAACGTTGAGCATCTGACTGCCAGCCTCTACCAAAGCACTGTACAGGTCTCTTTTTCTCCTATTTACTCAATAGCCCTTGGAGGTTGCTCCTATTGTTGGCCCCATTTCTCAGATCTGGAGACGGAGGCACAAAGAGGTGAAGTGACCTGAACAAGGCCTTGCAAGTTGTCCCTTAGGAGTAAAGAAGGTTGGACTGAAAGGGACAGGCAGGACTCAGAAGGTTGGCAGGAAGGAATGAGCAGATCCACATAGATTATGACACAGACAAAAGCTAGCTTCCTCCTGAAGCCCCCAGGCTGCCATGAAACAACCCTGGCTTCTTGATCACCTTGTTAAAGAAATCATAAGAACAGCCAGGAAGGGTAATTTTGAGTCTCATTTTTCAGATTTTCTCTGTAGTCTGTGTGGGAACATGAGGAAGGCCATCCGCCCTCTGAATCCCACTTCACAAGGGAGAAGGCTGGAACATAAAAGATGGCGGCTTTCCCTAGTGTGTGTGCTATTGTTGGCCGCATGCTTTTTATTCTGCTCTGATGGAGGCTGGTTTTGCTGATCCCAGAGATCTACTCAGACAGCTCTGGGAAGCAGGGCTCCAGCACTGACAAGAAACATTGTCCCCAGAAAGCAGAGGATACTGGGAGACTACATAGGCTATTCTGAATGAAGAGCCTCAGTGTCCCCACTGACTGGCCTGGGGAACTATTACCTATTAAGAACTCTATTTAAAACATTTTTTACTACATTTATTCTATCTGTGTGTGTGTGTGTGTGCGCGCGCGCGCGCGCGCGTGTGTGTGCCACGGCACACATATGATGGTTACAGGACAACTGCACAAGTCCATTCTTCTTTCTACCTGTGGGTCTCAGGAATAAAGTTCAGAATCGGCAGCAAGTGCTCTTACCCACTGAGCCACCTCACCAGCCCTGAGGCCATCCTACTTTAGAGCAGGTCTGGGACATCACTGGGTGGTGTCTAAATGTGCCATCTCCTCATTTAGGGGCTGGTTTAGGTTGGCATTGTTCTCACTTTTTTAAGAAGCTTATTCCGGCAGTGAGGAGGTCAGATCCAGGGCGGGGCTCCACAGAGCAAGCGCTAACTTCAGAAGCGTTCATTTCAACATTTTCCAGCTCCATCTCTAGTCAGAACTAGAAAGGACAGCTTGATAAATGACAAGGGTCACAGAGGCTCAAAGCAGGCCCTACTACTCAGTCTCGGCATGAGCCTGGCCAAGTCAGTGCGCCGTGCCTCCGATTCCTTGTCTTCAAAAAGTCCAGAAGATCAAATAGGATCTGATATTTATTGTCCCAGAGTCTTCGCCAGGCACGTAATAAACAGCCAAGAAGTTAGTGCTGCTATTCCCTTTTTATCTTACTGTTGAGTAGCAACTTTCCTTAAGGCTCTCAGCTATCGAACCTCTCCAATTTCCTCTTTGTTGCTTATGTCCTCGGTTCTCGTAAGTGGGCTTCCAGCGGGAACTGGCTACGATGGTGCATGTGGTGAGTGCCCTCAGACCTCCACAAGTTTTGCTATTCTTTTAAGTGATTGACCCCACCACCCCCTTTAAAATCCTGAATATCCAATTTAAACTACTGAAGATAATCCCTTCCTCTGTCTTCATCCAAAACAAGGTAAATACTAGACCAAAGACGTTCTAGCTATCATGGAGCTTAATATCTCTTACTGCCATGGGCAAACTGCCTTGAAATTTACTGCCTAATTCTCTTGGATTTTTCTTTTAGTAAGAAATTGGTAGCAGTTCTAAGGTGACTTTTAAGATTAGTCTAAGGAGATGGGAGGTGGGAGGAGAGTAGGGGAAGCAGGAGAAGAGGGGGAGGGGGAACTGGGATTGGAATGTAAAACTTAAATTAGTAAAAAAAAGTGTAAAAAAATTAATAAAATCTAAAAATCAAAATCAAAAATAAAAAAACACAAATAAAAAAAAAGATTAGTCTGAGGAGATATGTACTTCTCTACCCTAAACAGAGAGAAAGGGCCAAAAAATGACAACCCTCTGTCTTGGTCTGTCACCCTTTTCATGCCATGCCTAAAATGGGAAAAATCCTGGACCCCGAAGCTGAAAGCAAGCCCACCCTCCAGCACATGCCTGTTAGTGCCGACAGCCAGCACCGCTTAAATGTGAAGATCTGAAAAAGTTTTATTCTTTGGTCGGGAGCCTAGTATAATGAAAGTTGCTATAGTAACAGAGAACCCTGTTCTTTGGCCCAGAGAGTATATTCAGCGGGAGAAAAGCAAATCAATGTTGGAGCCATTAAATTTGCTTAGAGCCCGGAAAGGTGACCGTACCCAGCTGCACAAGCACATTGACAAATGGTTGCAACAATGCTGGTGGAGGAGCAGGCACACCCAACTGACTCTAGTGAGGTTCTTTGTTCCCAAGGGGCCCGGGCTTTCCTCTGGAGACTGACACCCTGTTACTGGCAGCCAGCCTCTTCAGCCTGTATGTGGCACCTGCTGCATGCAGCGCTGCTGTATTCAGAGTGGACAGTGAAGGCAAGGTGGGCCTAGTCCCCGTCTGCATGCAACTTGCATGCCTCCCAACTGTTCAGGAAGGCTGGCTTGAGACTTGCTGGGTCAGGGAGGGCATCTCTCTGGAAATGTCCCTGAAGATGAGACCTCCGAGATACACAGCAGATCCACAGGTGAAGAGAGGAGGTGCTTAAAGGTTTCCAGTGGTATACGCTGTATTTTCAGAACCTGGAAGAAATCAGTTTGGCCAGAGCACTGTGTGAAGGTAGGAGAAGATGGCCGTGCACAGGCCAAGCAAAAAAGAAGCGTCAGAGACATGCATCTCTCAAAGGTCACACGGCCTGTCACAGGGAATGTGGTTTGTGGAGCATATGGGTATGCAATTCATGTCAAATCACGGCAAGCAAGAGGTCCTGGTGACCTCAAGTGGAGTGGGGACTGTATGAGAGAAAAATGGATTAAGATAGATAATGGGTGCTGCACTGGTGGAGCCAGCTGATGGTTGGACAAGAGACATGTCAAGGGGTGCTCTGGGGCTTTTGTCATAAGAGTGCTAGTGGTGTTCAGATGTAGCTTCACCCCTTCTCACTTTGTTCCTGACAGTGCCAACAGGTGCCAGCACTTTGTGTCGCTTTATCTCCTATATAAATGTAGTGGAATAGTTATGGTCAGGTTTGATAGATAGTATGTGACTCTGGTCTCAGATCCCAGCACTTGGGAAGGTTGAAGCAGGAGAATTAGAAGTTTAAAGCCAGGTTAGGCCACATCCCAAGAGACCTTGTCACCAAAAAAGCAAACCAAACAAATAAACAAAAGCAGATCACCAAGCTGCTCGCTTATGCTGTTTTATGGTTGCATACACATGTGTACACTACCTATGACAGGGTAAAATGAGTCTTGGGATTCCTGCCTTGTACCTTTGTCTCTCGCCATCAGTTTTGAGACTTGCAACTGCCTAGGTACTAGGTGTTTTAAGCTGGACCTTCCAGTACATCTGGGTATGTGTTCCCACAAGGCCTGTGATTCCAGCGGCATTTGATCCGTGTTCTCCTCTTGCCCACAGGAAGCCTTGGAATCTTGCCAGACACGCATCTCTAAGCTGGAGTTGCATCAACAGGAGCAGCAGACCCTGCAGACAGATGCCGTGAACGCCAAGGTGCTGCTGGGGAAGTGCATCAACGTGGTTCTGGCCTTCATGACTGTCATCCTGGTGTGCGTGTCCACCCTGGCCAAGTTTGTCTCACCCATGATGAAGAGTCGCTTCCACATTCTTGGCACGTTCTTTGCTGTGACTCTTCTTGCAATATTTTGTAAAAACTGGGACCATATTTTGTGTGCCATAGAAAGGATAATAATCCCAAGATGAGCCACTGGTTCTTGCCTTCACATTCTCTCAAGATTTTATTTTGAAGAAAACTCTGTGCATACTACCAAATTTCTGAATGAACGGCTGTGCCAAAGATGGCGAGAAGGACTGAAGCTGTGTGGTGTAAATAATTAGAGTCTCCTAACCCAGTAGCTGTTGCCAACATAGTCCCTGTACGTGGTTAACGTGAAACTGTCCCAGAGTTCTCCCCAACATTGCTCACTGCCTTAATCAGAGCAGATCTCCAGCCCACCTGGCGAGCTCGGCATGGTAAAGCCCTGCTCATTGAGCACTTGGCATAAGAGTGACCCAGAGGAAAAGGGCCTCTCTCTCTTTCCCATGAATCTCTGTCACATTGAGCTTCATGATTGCAAACAGCTGTGTTCTCTCTGAGCCCCACAAACAGCAAGGATATGGCAGGATTCGGGGAAGTGAGCAAACACAAGTTATTGGCAGTGTTGAGCTCTTGGGTGGTCTACTGAAGCTCATTCAGTCTCTCTGTGACCTATCCCACTTGTCCACGGGTGACTCTGTGTCCTATTACGTACCCAGTGTTCACATTAGTCAATTGTGTATGTCCTTGTAACATGGAAATCTTATAGCTGCTTATCTGGCAAAAGTCTGCCTAACCAGTAGCGCTGCACTTTACACAGTAGACACTAGGATTTACAAATGGGCTCTCCTCTTCTTATGCCCAGGGAACCACACACCTGATTTCATCTTACCTGGTTAGCAGTGCCCTGCCCTTGGAGCTTACAGCCATGCTTTTGTCAGCCTGTAGCTTTGATAATGCCGTGGGGTGCTTTGAGCATCCCAGGGGAGGCTTATGCTCTGGCAATTGTTAACTGTGATAAATCCCCTTAGAGGGTGGGATGCACTTTATGTGATTCACTTTACTCTCAGGTCTTCGGAGATCAGGTTGCAAAACTTGTTCAGGAAACAAAAACAAGTGATGCTCGTGTCGCCAGGTTTCATTTTTCTTGAAGACAACAAAATCAAACTTCATAAAACATATGTGTGCGAGGAAGGACCTGGAGGCCTAAGAGGGATGTGAACTTTTGGTCTAGTTGGATAGTGGCTAGATTAGTGTCGGGAGGGTCTACTTAGGGACATGAAGGGCAGCGAGAATAAAAGGAATTAAGTCCAGTGCTGAAGCTCAGTTGCCGACATCTGTCTTGAAGGCACATAGTAAGTCAAGTTCTGAGTTACAGGATAAACGTACTGCCAGTGAGCAGAAAATGTGCAAGAGCTGCTGTTTACTGATGAAACTGGTTTTCTGTGTGCACCACAAAGAGGAGAGAGAAGGTTATATTGGATGCTGCCAGCCAGTCCCTGGTCCTCCCACCACACCTTCTGAAGTGTAAAGATGCTGTTAAATGTTTACTTTCTTCCAGAAGACACTCTCAAATATCTAAGTAAATGGCTGTTCTTAGGGACATTCTTGGGGTGGCAGAGGTAGGAGTAAGATTATTCAGCAGTATAGACAAGTCCAGCGTATATGAGTGGGACTCACACAACTCCAGCCTTTCCCCCCCCCACACTCCTAACTTTTAAATTAATAATTCAGCAATTTTAGTAAATTCACACACTATTTAGCCATTACCCTAACCAATTCCAGAGGCAAGCTTTTGAAAAATAATAAACACCATGAAATGCTGAGTATTTGGAAATCAGGGATGGGGGAGTTCCCAGCCCTACTCCTATCCATGCCTGTGTCCCCACACAGGGAACAGGTGGAGGTTTCTAGTCCGAGAACCACCATCTTCCTTTATTCCTGTATTTTCACTGCCTGCTCCCTTACCTGGAGGCACCAGACTCTGTCTGCCTGCACCTTGAAGCAAGCTGGGCCCGGCTGGTCTCCCATTGTCAATTATGAATATTTCCAAGTGTCTTAGAGCATGCCAGGGCCTGGGGTGGCTGTGAGTGAGGCCGGTAGTTTACAGATTGGGTATAAATGCAGCCTTAGAGGCTTAGTTAGGGCTCCAGGAGAACTCAGGAAGAGCAGGCCTGTTCTCATGCCAGCACACACCCTACCCCTGCACAGGCTAGCGAGGTTCTGTTGATTGACACTTCTCAAACCTGTGATCCGTGTTTCTTCTCCCTGACGAGAGAGTAGGGAAGGAAGTTAGAGACGGGACACTCCATGCTCTTCAATATGAACTTTGGACAGAATCTGTTAGAAACTGGCACCGTCCTGCACTAATGGAGTTGGGAGGGACACCCAAATCATCATGAATTCCTTCTAAAGAACCGGGATTTTCCATTGACTCCCATTAAGTGTGGAATCACCTTCTTTACCTGGGTGTGCTCAGCCCATATGGCGTCCTTGTTTTTCAGTCTATAGAGAGCTCATGAAACTTTTTATTTTTTTAAGAAGATTGTATAGGTCTAGGAGACTTTGATTCTACAGTTCATGATTCTCTTAAGGGCTATACCCGTCTTTTGCTGTCTTGAACATGCAGTGTACACACTGAAGAAATTAGAGAGAGAGGTACAACTGTGACATACCTTGGGATTGGAATTGATTCACAACTGAGTCAGCCAGTCTTATTTTGCACTTTACGTTGGTAGTAAACATCTCATGTATTTCTTGTGCTGAAAACCAGTTGTGGAAGAGTAGGAAAGTACCTGCTCATTTAGGGACACTGGTAAGGGATTCTAGATGCTGGACTTGGGATCTTTGGTGACATTATCATGATTGATCACCAGAATAGTGATTATTGAGAACATAACAGAACTTTAAGATATTAAGGATAGCAAATGTTAATACTGTTGTCTGTGGGTTTTGATTTTTTTCTCAGCTCATATTTTGTATATGATTAAGCTGGAACAACCACCCCCCCCCACCAAAAAAAAAAAAAAAAAAGCAACCACTCACAATGAAGTGTAACTGGAAGTACTCTCGATGACTTTTGGACTGAGAACACACCACTCCCCATCCCAAGTACCTGGCTCATGGCTTAGTGGTTTTCAGGTGTTCTTATCCTGTCAATCGGCCTTCATTCACGTGAACACCCTGTCAGTCTTGTTTTTATTTAAGTATTGCCCTCTGTGTGTACTTACTGTCTTGCTGATTTTCCAACAGCAGGTGTAATTACAGGTTGGAATGTGGTGAGGGAGCTAGTTTCCCCCAAGCAAGTAATTAGTTTGGTTCTTTGGGGTTGAATTTTAAATGCCAAATTATTTTGTGTTGGATAGGACTGTATAGTGGGGTTTTTTGTTGTTGTTGTTGTAAAATCCGGATCTGACATTGGAAAAACAGATATGCTTATTGATAAGGATGTGTGTGGTTAAACAGCCTATTTTGCATGTTTCCTTAATTTTGACCTTGGGCAGGGGAATGAATACTGGCTTATTTGGAGAGATGGTTCAAAGTTAGCAGGTAACTTTTAAGGGTTCTAAAAAGACAAATCACAGAAAACAATTAGATTGGCCTGTTTGTATCAAAAATAAAGAGCTTTAAAAAATGTGTCATTAACAGGACCTGGGTAACTCATTAGAAATAAAGCAAAAATTCAATTGCCTGCCGTGGATTCAATTCTCTGCTTAATGAGGCCAGAAGTGATATAACACCTTGTGTAAGGGTGGTTTACATGTCGCCCTTCTCATATATTTAAAGCATGTCTATTGTGTTTGTCCTAAAAGAAACATTTCAACTAAATGTGCTCTGTGTTTAAGATAGGCTCGGGCAGTGGCAGTAACCCTGACTATAAAGTCAGGAACGCTGACTGTAGCCTCTGTTGCAGAATCCCCCTCTTGTGGGATGCTACATAGTTTTGTATCTGCCTAAAATTGTAATTTCTCTGTAGATCTCCCCTATGGTGGTGTCACCAATGAATTCAAAGCAGGTGCCATTATTTTTTAAACACTTGATGTTTGCTTTGGTGTTAAATAAAAGTACTAGATTTCTTAAATTTTCACAATTGTCAGAACCCATCTCATTAGTGTGTGAGTCTGTGGTGTGTGTGTGTGTGTGTGTGTGTGTGTGTGTAAGAGAAAGAGAAAGAGCATGTGTACACACATATGTGTATATAAAATTAATAGACTTTTTAAAAGCAGCTTTAGATTTAGAGCAAAACTGAGAATGATGTATAAAGATTTCTCTTGAATATCCTGCCCCTATATACACACCCTTGCTACCCAGTATCAACATCTCCCACAAGGTGGTACCTTTTATTTTTATTATGTATGAGTGTTTGCCTGCATATGTATGTACACCACATGTGTGCCTGGTGCACACACAGGTCAAAAAGGCATGTCTGATTCCCTGGAACTGGAGTTACAGATGGCTGTAAGCTAACGTGGGTGTTGGGAATCAAACCCAAGTCCTCTGCAAGAGCAACAAGTGCCCTAAACCACTGAACCAACCCTCTAAACCTCGGAGTGGTACCCTTGTTAACAGCTGATGAACCAACATCGTTACATCATTATCACCCAGAGTCTCCATTCATGTTCTTGCTTTCATTCTATGGCTTTAGACAAATACATGAGGACATGTATTCTTGTAGCATTATACAGAATGGGTTCATTCCTCAAAACATTCTATATCTTACCTATTTATCTACCCCCTGTAGTCAACTTTAAAACTAGTCTTCATGTCTTCTGTAGAAAGTTGGTGTCTTAGTTAGGGTTTCTATTGCTACAATGAAACACCATGGCCAAAGAGCAAGTTGGGGAGGAAAGGCTTACACTCCCAGATTATAGTCCATCACTGAAGGAAGTCAGGACAGGAACTCAAGCAGGGCAGGATGCCGGAGGCAGGAGCTGATGCAGAGGCCATGAAGGGAAGCTGCTTACTGGCTTGGTTCCCATAGTTTGCTCAGACTGTTTTCTTATAGAACCCAGGACCAACAGCCCAGGATTTGCAACATTCACCATGTGCTGGGCCCTCCCGCATTGATCACTAATGGAGAAAATGTCTTACAGCTGGATCTCATGGAGGCATTTCCTTCACTGGGGCTCCTTCCTCTCTGATGACTCTAGTTTGTGTCATGTTGACACCAAAACCAGGCAATAAACATGGTGATGTGTGATGTGTGACCTGTTTCTTGAGCCCAAGGGAAGGGGGTTGCTTTTCAGTCAGTAATTGGAATACTAGGACATACATCTTGGTGTTGTGGATAGAGGAAGTGATGGTCGAGGAAGCCAAGTCCAAATGAAGAAGACAGGAGGGCAGGAATGATGTGGGTGATGCTAGTTGAGGTGTGCACACTGTCAGGAAGGCCCAGTGTGAGCAGATCCCTCTACCTTGAGTAGTCTACTCTGGGGGTTTCTTGTTGCAGGGGCATTGATGTTGACAAGGCACCACTTTGATAGTGCGTGAACTCAGCTGGACTGGTGATGTGGGTTTCATTACCCCTGTCCTGTTTATGGCTAGAGCTCAGATATAGGAGCTTCTTCCAAGGTCATGACCTGGGAAGGAGGGGTTTAGAATGTTGCCTTGGCCTTTCCACCATCTTGCCCCCTTAACTCACTATTTCCAGGCAATTTTCTCCACTGGTCACCCATCCTGAATCCTATACAAACAGTATCACTAGAATTGCTGGGTGACTCTAAAGCTCTGAGAGATCAGTCCATTCTCTGTCCTGGACAGCACTGTGTCCCCGGAAATCAGAGGCACAACTGTTATTTTGTCACTGTTGCCATTGGTATCTAAAGATATAAATATAGGGAATAGAAAACAATGCTATAAAGATGTTTAGTTGTGTGTGTAGCCCAACATATTCTTAGTCTATATTTCCTAGAAAAAAATAAGTGGGGAAAAAGGTTTAAGTCATTGATTTCTAGCTAATAATGAACGTGCTAAAGAATAAAGCACTATTTTCTGGTGTCAACATATCCAGGTTTCATTTCTGTGAATTTAATAAAATACTTCCAGCAAAAAGCAATGCAGCGAAGAAATGGGTTTGTTTTGGTCTACAATTCTAGATTATTGTCCATCATTGTGGGGAAGTCAAGTCAGGAACTTCAACTAATCACATCCCATCCACAGTCACAAGCAAAGAACAATGAGTGCACGCATACTCATCTGTAGAAAGCTTTCTTTTGAACTATCTTTGGATCGCCAGCCCCCAAGACATGGCATGGAGACTTCTTATTAATTATGAAATCTTGGCCTTTAGCTTAGGATTGTTTCCAACTAGTTCTTTTGGGGGGGTTCAAGATGGGGTTTCTCTGTGGCTTTGGAGGCTGTCCTGGAACTAGCTCTTGTAAACTAAGCTGGTCTCCATCCAACTAATTCTTATAACTCAAATTAACTTTCTTCAATTAATCTACATTCTGCTACATGGCTTTTACCTTTCCTGAGTACGCCACATCCTACTTGCTCGAGTCTGCTGGCAAGATCCACTTGCCTAGATTCTTCCTCCTCTTTCTCTTTCTCCCCAGAAATCCCACCTATCCTCTCCTGCCTAGCTATTGGCCATTCAGCTCTTTAAAACACCCATTGCAGCAATACATACATCTTCACACAGTGTTCAAATATTCTACAACACTCATCAGCTTCCCTACTTGTGCCCAGCTCAGTTTCTCCACTCTTATGAAGTTCAGAACCCCCTGCTTTGGGAATGGTGATACCACAGTGATCTGAGGCTTCCATCAGTTAACTTTAGAAAATTCTCTACAGATGTGCCCACAAGATAGCCCAGTGCAGACAAACCCTCACTGAGCCTCTCTTCCCAGGTGAGTCTAGGGTGTGTTGAGTTGACGATAAAAGCTAGCCATCACACACATGTACTTGTATGTAAAAGAAACACTGTCTTGGGCATCTAAGAATGTTCACAGTCACACCTGAGGAAACAATAGAGTCTAACAGCCTTTTATAATAGCCTCTGAGTTTGCAATCACAGGTGGAAGAATATCTGCAAAACCCTCTCCCCATGCAGTCACTTTCATGTAACCGTAATGTAGGTGGAAGATTGTGGGATGCACAGTGACCATGGCAATACCAAATAGATAGGGTATAGATCAGAGTTTCTTACTTTTCTTTCACTAGCAATTCCTTTTTGTCTGAAAAAAAAATTGTTATGTGATGCCTGGATGTATAGGTATATAAGTTAGATATACAAATCCAATTTACTGATAGTAAATCATAGTTATTTTATTCTCCCCCCCCAGTGTGTGTGTGTGTGTGTGTGTGTGTGTGTGTGTGTGTGTGTGTGTGTGTGTGTGTGTGTATTCTATGCACTTGTATGCAAAGGGTGCATGTTCATTCAGAGCCAGAGATTGGCCTTGGGCATCTTTCCTCCGTTGCTTGAAACATGATCTCTCACTGAATGTAGAGCTCACTGATTGGCTAGGCTGGCTGGCCAAATCAGCTCCAGGGATCCCTCTATCTCTACCACTGCCACTCCTACCCCACCCTCATTGTTGGGGTTACAGGCAACCATTGCCACGCCCAGCTCTTACATGGGTACTGGGATCCCAAACTCAGGTCCTCATGCTTGTACAGCAAGCACTTCACTCACTGAGCCATCTCCCCAACCCCCCCCAAAATGTATTTTAAGACAATTTTTCAATACATTTAATTTTACCACTTACTAAGGACTAAAGCAAATTTGCATACTAATGAGATGAATGTGCTTATTTTTACATACAGATAAAATCTTGGCTGAGTACTTGATATGGCAGGATGTAGAGCATCTTCAGCATTTTCCAGAGTTGATCGATATTTTGATTCTATAATCGCCAATGCTGGTACAACATGGTAGAAGTATATTTAAGGCCACTTCAGAAATTGTTGGAAATTCTGTCCTAATCTCAAGCCAAGATTCATTTAATGATGTTTTATGAGACTATATAATCAGCAACTCAAAACATGGTTTTTAAAACCAAACATTCTATCACAATACAACCAAAAGACTTTGATCGATGTTGAGGAATGACAGTAAGGAAAAAACAGCATCTGTTTTCATAATGGAACCATTATGCTTCTGTAGAAGGAAACTGTATACAGTATACACACTGTGCTTCACAACATACAAATGTCTTGAATCTGGACAGGGGTGTTTCTGGCAGTGGAAAGCATAGTGAAAAGTGGAAGTGTTGAATGTTCAGAACCAAAGCTGCAGTGAAACCCTGAGATGCAACATGGGAGGGCACTGCCAGGACACCCCAGATTCCTTACAGAGTTTATTTTGAAGTATTTTGGGTTGCTTAGCATTCAGGAACCTTTTAGTGTTACAAATTTCTGTGAACTCCCACATTCAGTCACATGACTCCATTGGGGTCTGTGATGGTTTGTACAGGAATGGCCCCATAGGCCCATAAATTTGAATGCCTAGTCACCAGGGAGTGGTACTATTAGGATATGTGGCCTTGTTGGAGAAGTGTGTCACTGGGGGTGGACTTTGAGGTTTTAAATGCTCAAGCCAGGCCCAGTGTCTCTCCCTTTTCCTGCTGCCTGCAGATCCAGGTGTAGAACTTTGGCTCCTCTAGCATCATATCTGTGTACACACTGCCATGTTTCTCACCATGATGATAATAAACCATCTCCAATTAAATGTTTTCCTTTGTAAGAGTTGCTTACTTTGTAAGAGTTGGGTCATGGTGTCTCTTCACAGCAATAGAAACCCTGACTAAGACAGGGTCCTAACCTACAGTTCCAGAAACTGGGATGTGGATGCTGCCTAACACTGTTTAAATACTTAACTGTGTTCTGTGCACTGTACAAGGGTTTTCTATACAGTGTCAACTGTGGCCATCCCAATGCTCAATAAAACAAGGGCTGTTATTCTCTCTTTCAGCGATGAGGAAACTGGGATTCTCAGTGGCTAAGTAACTGGCAGCATCAAGCAGTGGGTGATGGTAGAGCTGTTTATTCTGCCCCAAGCTTGTGACTCCAGCCTCTATAGGGTCCCACTACTCGGCACTGGGAAAAGAACTGAGAGGTCAGCTTCGAGAGTCACTCCTGGTTCCTG